CAAACATCAATTCCATCCAAAATATGTGAAAATCAGAAACCCAAGCGTAATAGCAGCTGTCCCCTCCAGACCTGCCAAGTCAGAGCGATGGGCCGTGTGTGGCGCTTTGCCCAGAAACTTGAGATCCTCACCCAGAGCAGCAGAGCACATTACTGGCAGGTGCCATCCTCTACTGCCAAAACCAGCAAGGCTGCTGAGTCTGCCCTTATATTTGACCCTGAATGACCATTTCAGTCAAGCTTCCCCAAAACTTTTGTTGTGCAACAAAACTGTACCCATCAGCAGGCTTTTAGAGTTTACTACTGGAAGTGGCATGGAAACACGAGTGGCCTCATTGCACTGCTGCTCAGCAGCCAACCTCTCCATCCAGAGCTCCCACAGCCTGGGTTTTGGCAGCTTTCCTGCTGCAAAAAGTGGGAAGGAGTAGGGGAGATTTATTCTGCGCCATGTTAGACCTGGTGGATGAGCCCTGGGTGAGGCTCTTTGTGGTCTGTACTGAGGAAATTCTGAGCTCAGGATCAATTTCTATAGAATTGTGTGTGTCTGTTTGCTGGGGGTTAGTGCCCTCTGGAGCAGATGGGCTGCAGGAATACCAAAAAACACTTGGCCTGGATCTTCCCAGCACAGCTTTGCAGCCACAGGCCACGATTATTCTGGGGGCAGGGACTTTCCTAACAAAACACTTGAAATAACCAGAGGGTTGTGTCATGCCTGGTATTGCCAATCGCCCCTGCAGCAGGCAGGTGTTAGGGGACACAGGTGTGGATGGGGCAATGTGGGAGCCAAACTTGGTGCAATCTTTGCTTGTGGTATTTGTAAGGAGCCCTGGCAAGAGCTCTCAAGCCCTTTCCATGGGAAATTCTCCATCTTCATCCTTTGTGGAGCTGAAAACCACTAAGATGTGTATGTTGTGCAGCCTCAAGGACTGGGCCCTCACTGGCCACATTAGCCAAACACTGCCAGTATCCCATTGAGGTTGCCTCGATTTTAACAGTATTTTTTCTTGCACAGGTCTCACGGGACACCTCAGCATTGCCTGGGGATAATTTTTCCCCATAGTTACTAAGATTTGTGAAGTGAAAAGCCACGGCAGCAAGCAGGGCTGTGCTGAGGTGACCGGGAAGATCCCACTGAGAAGCCACTGGACTTGGTGGGCCCACACAGCACCTTCTGTTAAGAAACTTTTGATTAACCTCATCTCTGGCATTTTACCAAGACCCACTTCGATTATTAATCCATGCCGATTAACTATTAATCTGCTTGATCTAAGGTTAAATGGGCAGGTTTAATTATTTATTCTCACGGTTCTGTGAACCTGCCCCGGGGGGTGTCTGTCACATGAGTGGGTGGGATTGACGAGCGAGCACCCCGGCTCGATCAAAGACCTCGTTTATACATTCACTGTTAAGCATGAGCCGAGCCATGCCATGCCATTCCAGCTCCCGCCCGCCATTCCCTCAGGGCCCCGCTCCCCTCAGCACCTCATGAGGGGAGAGACGGTAGGCGGGAGCTGCCCGTCAGACCGACAGGCCCCTCAGCCAATAGCAGCGCGGCTCTGGCTCCCACGGACCAATGGGGACGCGCGGCCGCCGGAGTGTTCTAGAAGGGGCGGGCGGGGAGGCGCGGCCGGGGGCGTTCCCGCCCAGTGCGCGGCGCGGCGCTGAGGGGAGCGGCAGCGGCCATGGCGGTGAAGGCGCTCAACCCCAAAGCTGAGGTGGCTCGCGCCCAGGCGGCGCTGTCCGTGAACATCAGCGCGGCCCGCGGGCTGCAGGATGTGCTGAGGACCAACCTGGGCCCCAAGGGCACCATGAAGATGTGAGGGAGCCCCGTTGGGGATGGGGGAGGGAGGAGGCCGCGGCCTACCCGCCGTGCGCCTCAGCATTTGGGGCCTGAGGGGAAGCGTGAGGGGGAAGGGGGAGGGAGGCGGGGTGTGGGGCTGTGTGGGGGGTCCTGCTCATGCTTACCCCCTCCTGGTGTCGCCCACAGGCTGGTTTCAGGCGCCGGAGACATCAAGCTGACCAAAGATGGCAACGTGCTGCTGCAGGAAATGGTGAGTAGGGAGGGGGGGGGGCTGGGAGCCTGGGCCTGTTCTCCTCCCTATCGCCTGGGTAAAGGGGAGTGTGTCCGTTGCTGCCTCCCGTGTGTGATTCTGGGGTATTTGGCCCCGTGTTTGGGGAGGGTGATACTCTTTGGGAAGAGTTTAAAGGATAGTAAGTGCAGTTTGGTAGGTGTTGAATGAAGTTGGCTTGCTGTTGTGGCAGTTCCCATTTAAAAGAAGTACGAACGAGTTAAATAATATAAGCGCTTTTCTTACCCTAAATTTTATTTCGGAAATGCGTAATTTTATTGTACTAAGATCGGTTGCACCAGAGTACTTAATAACTGTGTGATTTGGAAAAATGTTTAAAGTTGAGAGGTGGATGCGGTTGATGTAACACGAGGCCCGCAGGGAGCTTGAAAGTGCAGCCCCCTCCAGCTACGTGGGGCATGTTATGCAGAGCTGGTGCCACCCTGCCCCTGGCTCTACAGCAGCTGTTGGTCCAAGTACCTCCAGTACCCAGCACCAGTCTCCTCAAATACTGATGCTCTTCTCTAGGTTCATAGGCTCCAACCTATGCTAAAATAATCTTGATTCAGCGGTTGGAGATGCTAAGTGCTACATGTGTTCCTTAAATTGAAAGGCTGATTTGTGTAAGTACCCTGCAGTCACGTGTGGTAATTGTGAACTTTGGCCAGGCAGCAATAATTCTCCATCCATCTTCATAGCTGGAACGCTGGTGCACTGCTCAGCAGAGGAACTGATGAGAAACAAACTGACTGAATGTTGGTTTTCATTTTTATAAGAGTAAATAAAGCAACTGTCAAATAATAAACCAGTTAGGGTTTGTACAGCATTGATCATGCAGAGAATTAAATTAGTTCTAAACCATTTTTAGTGCGCTTAACAGTCCAGTTGTCTTGGTGCACCTTGGTTGCTAAAGGAGAAAAGGGCTCTGTCAAGTGAAGCACTGTTTGCAGGTGAGGACTAGCTGGGGCTAACAGCACGTGCCATTGTTCTGTGTAGATCACAGAATATCCCAAGTCGGAAGGGATCCACAAGGATCATTGAGTCCAACTTCTTGGTCCACACAGGGCCACCCAAAAGGTCCCTACACTGGTCACCGGAGACTTGCTGGGTCTTCAGGGGGAAAAAAGACTGTGCTGTGCAGGTTAATTCAAGAAATTTGCTGTCCAAATGTGATTTTTATTGTTACTTACTGGAATTGTATGTTGAAACAAGATAAATTGACAGGAATAATTAAAACATTGCCTATTAACTAAATAAACTACTGAGCTGATTTCAGATCACTTGCTTTCTCTACCATTATGGTAAGGCTTACAGTTCAACTTCTTACTTTTGTTTAGCAAATACAACACCCCACAGCCTCCTTGATAGCAAAAGTAGCGACAGCACAAGATGACATCACTGGGGATGGCACCACCTCAAACGTCTTGATCATCGGTGAGCTCCTAAAGCAGGCAGATCTCTATATTTCTGAGGTATGTGTTTAGTGCATCTCTTGTAGGTGTGCAAGTGAAAAGCTTCACTTAATACTGTTCAGCTTCTGTGTTGTATGCTTAATGCTCATAAATCAAACATGGAAACAAATACGTTTTCTACTTAAAATTAATTTGTAAAATGGAGATAAGCTACAGAGGAAGACTGGAGACTTGTTCCAAACTGCTTATTGGGAATACAGGAGGATTTAATAAGGTTGCGCTTGATACATGCTTTCATGTCTGGTTGTTTTGTTTGAATTAAAACAGTTACTGCATGTACAAGGAGATGCTCTCTGATTATAGATATTTGGGGGAGTGTAAGTTGCAGAATACATCTGTGTTGCACAGTGAACACCCAAGTGTGCTTTGTAGTTCCCTTGGTTTAAATTCTGTGCTAGAGTAATCTGTGCTTTTCCTCTGCATTAGAAGGACTGGCATTCCTTTTATATGTATTCAGAAGGACAGAACATTTTATTGTCCCTGTAGCATGCATGTACCCTGTGTTCTGATGTTACATGAGAGTTGAAACCACAGGTTCTACTTGTGGGAAAATACCTTCTTATCTTACTGTTGTCTAATGATTTCCCTTCTTCTCCTGCACCCTAGGGCTTGCACCCTAGAATAGTAGCAGAAGGATTTGAGATTGCAAAGGAAAAAGCACTTGAAGTCTTGGAGCAGGTCAAAGTGACTAAGGAAATGGACAGGGAGACCCTTATAGATGTTGCCAGAACATCCCTCCGGACTAAAGTTCACACTGAACTTGCTGACATCCTAACAGAGGCAAGTGGTACATGTGTTTTCATCCCCTTTTCATGCAAAGAGGTCCAGGTTTTAAGCGCTGTGGTTATTTCTTGGGCAAAGGGTGGATAGGAGGATGCAAGCTTGCACTTGGAAAGACTAATGGCCCTTCTGGGGATTTTCTTTTCTCCTCCCTATTCCAGGCTGTAGTAGATTCTGTTCTGGCAGTCAGAAAACAAGATGAGCCTATTGACCTTCATATGGTAGAGATTATGGAGATGAAGCACAAATCAGAAACTGACACAGCGTAAGTAAGAAGTATCTTTGAGGATTTTAATGGTGTCCTGATGTTTGAGCAGCCTGGGGTCTTTGTTTTCTTTTAAAAAGAAGAACTTGTGTGTTTTAAACCTACAGCTGGGAAAGTCACTAAGAAGGGAATGAAAGAAAGAAATGGAGAGTTCAGCTGGTAATTATCTAGAGAGCAGAAATCTCCCAGTAACTGAACTTGATTCCCTGACAAAAGATGTTTGGATAGCAAAAGGTGGCACTGTCTCAGACTTGTGCTTTGCTATGGGTGGACACAGTTGTTTGCTTTTTATCTATACCTTTTTTTCTTAAATGCCTGTCTGTTTATTGCAAGTGAAAAATAGCATTCAGTGCATGGAAACAGGGTTGTAGTCATCCAGTTGTTTATTCTGTAGGCTCCTACGTTTATGTCAGTGGCATGGATGAATTCTGCAGTAGCTTTTCTCAATAGCTACTGCAGTCAGACACTATGCCAGAATAAATTCCCTCTTTACATTCTGATTGGTGCGCTTTCCATATGCGAATGGGCATGCCCTTGGAAGTGGGATACATGATCGATATTTACTCCTTACAAAACCACACAGACAATTCATTCTGAACCTGTTTTGCTGTTAGTTAACTCCCTAGTGTGCACCTCCATGAGGTGCTCATCTCCTCTATGTGTACGTTGGCACACAAAATGCTTTCTCATCTTTCAGGCTGATTAGGGGACTGGTTTTGGATCATGGTGCTCGCCATCCTGACATGAAGAAAAGAGTGGAAGATGCTTATATTCTTACTTGCAACGTGTCTCTAGAATATGAGAAAACGTAAGTACCCAGCAGCAAGATGAGTAGAAATACTCCTGTCTATTATAAATTCTTTTAAGGTGTGTTTAAAAAAAGTGGCAAAAAGATTGCACAGGCTCTCTTCTAGAGCAAGGAAGGTAGTGTGGAAGGTGGAATGGAAGAGGCAGTGTTCCTCTGCAGCCCTTCTCTGGAAAAGGGAAGTTAGCAACTGAGATTAAATCTGCATATTAACTTTTAGAACGTTTCTGAGGGGGATTCCTTACACTTTTAAATATTTATTTCCACAGCATAGAGGAAGCTAATTATCTTACTGTCTTTTCTTTTTTTTTTTTTTTCCCCCTTCCAGAGAGGTGAGCTCTGGATTCTTCTACAAAAGTGCAGAAGAGAGAGAGAAGCTAGTAAAAGCAGAAAGAAAGTTCATTGAAGACAGAGTGAACAAAATCATAGACTTGAAAAGAAGAGTCTGTGGTGATTCGGATAAAGGATTTGTTGTGATTAACCAGAAGGTGAGATGAATGGTATAACGAAGTAGAAAAAATAACTTGAAATGTGGGCTTTCTTGGCAAGCTACGCGCTGCTTGATTTTGTATGGTTCTTCAGACACAAATAACTAAATCCAGGTTGATGCGCTTGTGGATATGTGCATGCAGTTCCTGCTTGAGATTATCTTTGAGCCCTGAAGAAGAACTTCATGATTAACGTCAGACCAAGAGATTTTTTTTTCCTTATCCTGATGGTCGCTTTCTCTGTTTCTAGGGAATAGACCCATTTTCCTTGGATGCACTTGCAAAAGAAGGAATAGTTGCTTTGCGCAGAGCTAAAAGGAGGAACATGGAAAGGTTGGTTCCTGGGGAAGGAAGGGGTAAATAACTTGTTGCAGACTCATTTAGTGAGTTAGGTCTGGCTTGAATCCACCTTTTAAGGACTGACACTAAAAAGTGTGCTTTGGTCTGACTGGTTCTTACATGAGAAATTTTTTTTTTGTACAAACCATGGAACTGTCAGCTCAGCACACGGTGTGTCACACGAATTGGAGCTATCAGTGTGCTTCACCTGTTGAAGAGGCTTAATTTTACAAGCTTACTGCTTATGAAGAGCTGCTTTTACGTAAAAGGAAAACTGTTGCAAGCCTAGTAACTATAGTATTCTGCATGCTGAAATACCTTTATCCATAGTGGTGACTTCAGATTTTAGGTAATACAAAACAATTGCTAAACTGTAACTGAATTCTTCCAGACTGACCCTGGCATGTGGCGGTACTGCTATGAACTCTGTGGAGGATCTCACCCCTGACTGCCTGGGCCATGCAGGCCTCGTCTATGAGTACACGCTGGTATGTACAGCTATGCTTGTAGTTGAAGCTGCATTAAATATGTCTGCTGATAGCACTTGACACCGTTTTCTTGTGTACTGATGTGACTGCATGGAACTCTCTTCATGTTTTAAGACCTGCATTGGAATATGAACAAAGGCTGGTGGGATTTCAGATCCTAGTGTCACTTCTGTGTGAACATCTACCTAGATGCTTGCTCTTGCCATAGTGCCTTTTCCTATTGTTACTTCCATATTATGCATTTCATACCTGTAAAATTGAGAACATGGAAATAAGGTTCTAGAATGCTAAGTTCTTTCTGCTTAGGTTCTACATTTCTTCTTGGAGGGCTCTTAGTTCAGAACTGGAAGTGTCTGCTCAGGTTTTTTATTATGTGTACATTTGCTCAATACATATGATGTGAATGCCTAACCCTCCTTACAGGGCGAAGAGAAGTACACCTTTATTGAGAAGTGTGACAACCCCCGCTCCGTTACCCTGTTGATCAGGGGACCAAATAAGCACACGCTGACACAAATCAAGGATGCAGTAAGAGATGGTCTGCGTGCTGTTAAAAACGCTATTGAGGATGGTAAGTCTCTGCTCTGTCTAGTGACGTACACAAAATTCACCAACTTTGAGGTAAAATTAACTGTTCAGATTGGAGAAGATGCTTGTGAAGTCTCAACGTTAGTGCTTTCCCTTGCAGGGTGTGTGGTTCCAGGAGCAGGTGCGCTGGAAGTGGCAGTAGCTAACGCACTTGTTAAGCATAAACCTAATGTCAAAGGAAGAGCCCAGCTTGGAGTTCAAGCTTTTGCTGATGCTCTGCTCATCATTCCTAAGGTATAAGGAATTCCGAAGTGACGGGACTTTAAAGCACACTGAGATCCATCGTGTTTTCTGCAGGTCTCTTTAGATTAATGTGAAATGATGTTTTCCTTCTCAAAGGTACTCGCTCAGAACTCTGGTTACGATCCCCAGGAAACACTAGTGAAGGTGCAGACAGAACACGCAGAATCAGGGCAGCTCACTGGAGTTGATTTGAACACTGGTAAGAACTAAACGAGATGCTCTGGTAAAATTAATGTGGCAGTAAATACAAAGCAGCAAAACAATTGCTTCTGAATGACAGAAGTGTTTCTAGGAGGTAAAGGCCTCTCATGGCTCAGGTCCATGAAGCAAAAAATTGCTTTTACTGCAGAAAGCCAAACTTGATTTCGTGAAAAGCTCTGCAGAAAGCCTTGGCTACTGTGCTGTTGCCACAGTCAGCCTTGCATGCTTGTAATACTTATATGTGTTCTGTTACACGTGGCAAGTAATACCAGGTGTTAAACTGCAGAGAGTCTTGCCTTGAATGGTGAAAGCTGGTTATTTAGCTTGTTCCGCCTCTTTTCTAGGTGAGCCTATGGTAGCTGCAGCAGCTGGAATCTGGGATAACTACAATGTCAAAAAGCAACTGCTTCATTCATGGTAAGTGTTACTGCTTTCACTTGAATTAGTAAGGGGTGTTTGATGGTTGAAATTGATAGAGTAATGTGGAACCAAGGGTTCCCATGTAGAGGAAGGTGCCTTGAAGGGCAGAAGTTAAACTGGGTTGTCTTTGTGTTGAAGCAGATACTCTAACGATATTTATTTCTTATTTCTAGCACGGTGATTGCTAGCAACATCCTCTTGGTGGATGAAATCATGCGAGCAGGAATGTCGTCTCTTAAAGGCTGAACTGGCAGGGATGGAGGTCAGCCCTAGTAGTGCCCCATGAGATCTCTTCAGGAAATCCACCCGAAGGTGCTCTTTTCTTAGCCATGGTGGATTTTCCCAGCAACGGAAGTCACTCTGCTGTAACAAGCAGCACTCTTTGGTAAACGTGGCCACTCAAAATGTTAGCAACTATTACAATATTCGGTTCTAAAAGTCAGTTATTTATTTTTGACTTCTCTGAAGTGTACAACTGAAGTTGCTGTCCTTTTTACCCAATAAACTGTTATGTTCTGTGCTTTCTGGGTGTCAGTTATTGAAAACCTTGCATTCTGTGGCCAAAGGCTTTGAACTTCTACCACCATTGTGAACAGCGCTGGACTATCAGCTTTGATTTGTTTCCTGGCTCTGTGTGCTGGGTCTCGTTATCAGTTCCAGTAGTTGCTGTGACAGTGATTAATAGGTCTCAGAGTTGTGAAAACGCTGTTCAGGACACTGCTTTTGGAGGAATGTGGGTTTAAATGGAATTTTTGTGCTACATTACAGAGCTGGATCACACTTTTGGTCACAAAACTCTTAGTTAATGTGCTCTAGAATGGCTGGGGGCATGTGTTGAGGTGGCATCCTTGCCGTAACACTGGTAGCTTTTTACCATTTTCATGCTGCAGGTAAGTATTGATGGACTGCTAACACTACACCAGATCTAGGCAGAACTCTGGATGAAAACCCCATTGAGAAGGTAATTAATGGGAGAGAAACAGCCTACTGCAGTCCTAAGGTGATTTTGCCAAATCCTCATCATCCTCGTTGTCATTACCAGACAGGAGTATCAAGTGGGATGCATCTAAAAATCAAACCTCTCCTGTGTTTGCCAGAAGGAAGAGTGAAGTTGGGTCACGAGGAGATGAATGCAGTGTGTGCACAAGTGTTGAGATCTCTGGTGCTTTCTCAGAGCTGTCACTCATTCCTTGGGATCTTTGTGGTTGGCTGGAAAGGGGAAACTGCCTGGAATGGCTCCTGGGGCAGGTACCCTGAGGTTGGAGCTGTGTCCTAGAGTAGGCCTGAAAGTGGCGGCTTGCTGTAGAACTGATAGAGGGCTTATTTCACCCCCCCCTTCATCACAGCTGGGTGGCTGGCAAATGAGCACCCTTTTTAAAAACAAAACTTATATGAAAAGCAAGCTGAAATGCTGGTTTTGTTGGTGGCCCTACTAGCAGGAGGCTTTGCACGTGTGGAGGTGAAATTGCAACCTCTATGTGCGATCAACATGGTATGAAAGTATCCTCCCCCTTTTTTTTTTTTTTTTTTCCTTTCTGAAAGGAAAAGCATCTGCTCAGTGTGTGCAGCAGGCCTGGCATGCAGCGTGCGCAGCAGCGTGCAGGCACAGGGAAGTGCGTCCCCTCCCGGAAACACTTCCCTGAGCCTGGAGCACTTCTGGGTCAAAGCCTTTTGGTTCCGCTGCCGTCTCACTTTTTCTTTTTGCACTGTACCCGCCGCTGCTGCCGCTTGGCACTGCTCCCGGGGAGATGCGCCTCGCGCTTGTGGTGTGCTGCTGCGTGTTGGGCTGCAGCCAAGCCCTGCTCGGTGAGTTAAGGAGCTTGTGCTGCTCTTTGTCCGTCTGCCTCGCAGGGATGCTTTGAAATCACTTCACTGCACAGGTTCCCTTCAAATGCAGCAATGGATTAGTTGAAGGGGTTTGCTGATTTGTCCTGACTGAAGCTGTTCCTTTCCCAAGAAAATGCTGAAAGTGAAACCTT